ATCATTCAGGAAAAGCAATGGAGACTGAATGAAAATTTTGTAATAGCTACGGTTAGTAGAGTGACAATAGTGCCACTAAGCGACAAGATGCAAATCAAGTACCTGGACACATGTTCATATCCAGGAGAAACTGTAGCCAGGGAAACGCAAGAACAGAATGAAAGAAGTATGAAAAGTGTAGACTGAAGTCTGCACTCTTGTTTAGTGTTTCAGGAGAAAGACTGACTTCTATATTTAGCACCCTGAGTGTCAGCCTCCCTTCCAGAACCTCTTACAGAAACTTTAGTTGCACTTTTTCACCCTAGTAATTTTTTTTATTCGTACCCTCCATATCCAAAGCCCCATTGTGGAACCTCTTCAACAACTGCCTTCTGGCAACGGTTAAGCCAGCCAGCCACAACTTCCTAAGAAAAACTAGGGAATATTCACCAACTGTAGGATTTACTTCTAAGCCCCTGTCCTATCATTTCTCCAAGAAGAGCACCACTCAAAACAGCATTCATCAGCATCTCAGCCTCAGGGGACTGTGCATGCTCAGCTCAGCATTCCCTCCAGTTCCTTGTTTTTAAGCCATTTGCCTTTACCTACCTTTCCTTTTTTACTCTCTGCCCTCACAATGCATTTCCCTCTTCTTCTGGGGATGGGGAGAAACAAGATGGCATTCAGCTTCTATAAAGGATAAGCTGACACCCAAATCCTAATGGGGAAGAGAAGAAATAAACCAAAACACATCAGTAGAACAGGACTCTGCCAGACGCCCAGATAAAGTACATGGGCAGGACAAGAAAGCAATTAAAACTACCTGAATACTCTCCTGGTCTCCAGCTTTGTATGGCTCTGGGGCGATTCACCTCCTCCACACCACTCATGATTTTATAGACTTGTAGAGCACCCACCCTCTCATTCCTCTCTCTGCTGTGATGCTCAAGTTGTCCTTAAACAATTCTAGCACCAAAAGTACACCAGTTTTGCCTCCCCTTCTGCTCAAAGCTGCAGTTCCCACCCCCTCTGAAAAACAGCTTGGTCATGGTAATATTCCGGTCAGAGACCAACTGACCCACCTGTCTATACAATCATGTGAGTACTAGCACCAGCAAGAGAGAAGCACAGCAACTCCTTAGGCTGCAACTAGTAAATCAGTATAGGATGCTCTTGCTCGCCTTATATCAAGGCTACTTCACATATACCATCATCTCCATTGCTCTTCCTCCACCTCCCCAGTTATCCTAAACAGGGTACAGCATATTACCCCAGGGAGTCCAGAACTGCACAGAGTACTCAAGCTTAGATGAAGCAAGGATTTATATAGTGGCATGATACGGTCTTTTATTCTGCACTTCATCCCTTACCTGATAATTTCTACCATTCTACTTGCTTTTTGACTTTTGCTACACCATGAACTGACTTTTCAGAGTATCATCCACAGTGACTCTCAGATGTGGTCGTCCCTGGATGCTGCAGAAAAACATAAAAATAACATTGCTTTAATATTCCTACTAATACAACATGCAACAAGAGCAGCTGAAAAATTACTGAAGCTAAGTGTGAAAGATGCTCACTCTGCTATTGAATACATTTCTTATAACAACCCTGGCAAAGAGGAGCTTAGAAAAGTAAGGTAGGACAGCAAACAAACAAAGCAGTTAACGCAACAAAAGTTATTCACTGACACAAATACAGAAAAGGTAATATACTTTCTAAAGTGACTAAATATAAATACTTTACTATAGAACAAGGAAGAAGAAAAGTTTATTTTAACCCTTTATAAATTGCTTCTCAGCATCATCAAGAGCAAATCTGAGAAGAGAAAGAAGGTAAACACTTCCAAGTATCCATCATTTTTTAGGATACAGAGTCAGCACAGATATAAGCATTTATGGAAGCATTTTATTTTTCATTTAAGAAAATAAAACTGTTCTTGACTTCATAGTACAGAGACACTTGCCAAAGGCTTTTGGAAAACTGTGTAAGCTTTGCTCATTAAGTCTCCTTTATCTACAGTTTTATTACTTCTTTCAGAGAGCTATCAGGTTTCTTAAAAAAGCCTCTAATCTGATCCTGTTACATCTCCTGTGAAGAAACACTAAGCGAACAACACAGGCTTATCACAAGAGTTAGGTCAAAACCTAGGTAATAACTTTTATGTGTCACGCAAGCGTCGGGAGCGTTTAAATATTTTCTTTGGGCATGGAGAAATCTTGTAAGTAGACACAAAAGACGAGCAAGGAATAAGAAATCTCAAGAGGGGCAACAGCTCTGCTCTCACGAAGCTCCAGAAGAGTAAGGCCAGCGCAGCTCTTATCAATTAGCCTAGTGCTTCCAGGGGTCCAAACCGCAATTTCACTCTGCCCGTAACTCCGCGCAGTAGCAATGCTCTGTAGCCGTCAAGAAAATTTGAACCGAAGTCTACAAGGCTGTACGTACAGTACGTCTACAGTTTTAAGGCTCAGCTCACTTCCCCGCCCCCCCGGAACCCTCATTCTTCTGCTGCCAGCAATAGAGCAACCGCTCCCGATCCGCCAGCCGCAGGAGGGGACCCGGCGGCAGCCGCTTTGACTTACTGCGGAGCGCCGAGGGAAGGGAAGGGAAGGCACGGCCCAGCGCCGGCCGCGCCGC